GTTTGGTTTGTATGTGCATGTGTGTGTGTTCACAAAATGTGCTTTTGTTTTCTGCTGGTGGTCGGAGTTCTCCCTCTTCCTTTTTTTGTGTCTGTCACTCTCTGGTAATGGGATGCCAAATGTCCGGTTTTTCCTTTTTTTTTCTCATCCGAGAGAGGTAAGAGAGAATATGTTTTTGTTTCCTCATTTAAAAGCTTTACAAGGTTTGGTTTAGGTGAGATGTGATGCTCCGCTCATTTTCAGTTTTTTTTTCAAAAATCATTTGGCATCCCTTCTAGTAACACCTCTATCTAATCTACGGCACATATGCAGTTGCGAGCGCCGTAAAAGCTTACTAAAACAAACATTCTTTGGCTGGTGTGGTTTGCTTCTTCTTTCTTATGAAACATCTATCGTCCTTATCTCTCTTTCTTCTTTTTTATGTTTGTTACTCTCTTGTAACACCTCTAATCTTCTGGCGCTCATATGACCGTATGCAGTTGCGAGCGCCGTAAAACCTGTACTAAAACTAAACGGACCTAATTATATTGCAAGTGCTGTATAACACTCACTAAAGTAAACCCCCCCAAAAAAACAACCAATGTCCCATTTTCTCCCCCCCGCAGATGTTTGTGACCCGTGAGAACCACACCGAGGGCGAGATCCAGCCCATCTTTGTTCTCGTGTCCGACCACTGCCTCTACCTGCTGCGCTACAAGAGGGAAAACCGAAAGTTTCTCCTGCACTCCCACGCAAAGCTCACCGATCTCATCTTCATCAGCGTAGGTTGCCTCCCTGTAGATTTTTAAAATGTTGTGTGGGTGGTTGGCGGGTGCTCTGGTGTGGTTTGCTCCTTCTTTCCTACCACCAAACATCTATGGTCCTGATCTTTACTTCTCTTTTCATGTTGAATTTTAATGAGAGTAATGTGTAATTTAGATTTTTTATTTACGCCTGCGTGTGTTTTTATGGACCTGTACAGCCAGGAAAAAATTCCCCCTGGGATAATAAAGTATTATCTTATCTTATCTTATCTCTCCTCCTTCTTCTCTGTGTTTGTTACTGTCTTGTAACACCTCTAATCTTCAGCACTTATATGACCTTATTGTGCTGCAAGTGCGGTAAAACTCTTTACTAAAACTGAAAAAAATATTGTAGAGTAATGATTTATTTATGTCTTTACGTTTGAGTAGGACTTTCCTCCTGTGCACACACCACCAGTAGCAAGAGGCTGGTACAACTGCTAAATCTAACACTTTGCGGTCACTTGGTACAATAATGCGCGTCAGTGAAAATTATCCGTTCCGGTCACCTGGGCCAGGCCCGAGAAGTCCGTTGCAGTCACTCTCCTGGCTGGGTGACAGGATTGGGTATTCTGTACTGCTAGCTGTGTGACTGCAAAGTGTTAATGAACTGTGACGTTTTTGATTAAATTGGAAAGAAGAAGTAATGACATTTTGAAGTTGAAAATGTGCTGTGGAGTCTCCTTATGGTTACTTATGATCAGTCTGAGGGGTCATTTTATCATTTAATTTGACATGGTTTAACACCTTGCTGTCACCTCTCACCGATCGGCCATGTTTACCGTCCAGTTTCTTTGGATTTTCCCCAAAATGCCTTTGCCTTTGATGGCAAGTGTTTTTCTCTACATGAGCCTTGTGATGGAAAAGAGTTTAAAAAATATTTCTCCGTGAAATAATAAAATATTGATAATATTGGAAGGGTTTTGATACCTGAAAAGATGTGTCTTTTATACGATGAAAGATTTCTTTCTAAATGTCCCCAATACGAATACAAGAGTAAAGGCTAAATAGAGAATTAATTTTTTCACTCGTTCGTCTAAAAAGTAGATGAGTGAAAAATGTTTTTATTTATAGCTCAAGAATTCTTTTAAGAGAAAAAGGAGAAAGATTCTTATAGCTGGCTGATCATATTTAACACTTTTCCGCCTCATCTCGTCGATCGGCGATGTTTACCACCAAGTTTCTTTGGATTTTTCCCCTAAATGCCTTTGCCTTTGATGGCAAGAATTTGTACTATATGAGCCTTGTGATGGCAAAGTGTTTAAGCTGTTGAAGTTTCTCATAATTCTATTTTTATTAAATGTTTCGTCTTTTCAGACGGGCTTGAACGACCAGACGATGAACATAGAGAGCCGAGAGTCGAAGCGACAGAAGCAGAGGTTTTGGCTGACCCCTGGTCACCAGGCCCTGACCCAGTGAGTGACCGGTGCTGTCACCTGTAATATTTGTGAAGTGTGCTGACAAAATGAGTTACTTCTGGGATTCAAGCCTTATGAAATAGATACTTCACACTTATTATAGGTGGAGTTTTTTACAATTTATAAGTATGAAATATCAAGAGGCATGTTATACATAAGGAATAGGGCATCAATAGAAAATCTACTAATTTGACCTTAGTGTTGATTTTTGGCCAATAACTCCATTTGTGGATTGCGAGAAGTAACTCATTTTGTCAGCACGCCTCACATTTGTTACTTGTTGTGTAGGTCGTCGAAACTGGCCCAGTGCGGGTTGTTGGCGGTTGTTCCGGTGTGGTTTAATCCCTTCTTTCATATGATCAAACATCTGTGGTCCTGATCTCTCCTTCTTATTCTTTTTTTGTGTTCATTAGTCACATGTAACACCTCTATTCTTCAGCACTTATATGACCTTATTGTGTTGCAAATGCCCTAAAACTCTTACTAAATCTAAAAACATTATTTTCACAGGGCCATCCAAGCGTGTCTGACAGAGGCGGTGAAATTTGCCAACGAGCATATTGTGTCTGTTCGCTCGAGGTTCAGCACGGGGAGTGAGGTGCCCTTGCAGAAGATTGCTCTCAGGAAGTACATCTCGAAGGAGCTTAGCTGTGAGGTAAGCCAGGACTTGCGACATGCTGAAGTGCCTGTCAACACGCTCAAATAATCTTATACAGAGTAGGCTTCGACCACCACCCGTGCAAAATTCAAAATTTCCTAACAACTGAAAAAAATTTAATGTGTCCCGCGCACTCATATGACCTTATGCAGTTGTGAGCGCTGTAAAACACTTACCCAAAATAAAAATAAAAATTACCTTATGCTTCGGTTGCCTAGTGGTTAGGCTACCAGACTTGTAATCGTGAGGTTGCAGGTTCGGGGTTCGAACCGCGGGCCTGACGTTGTGTCCTTTGGAAAGGCACTTAACAGGAATTTACCTCGCTTCACCCAGGTGGGAATGGGTACCCGGCCATAGACAGTGAAAGATCTTGTGTAGTATGTTAGTGCTTTAGCATCCATAATGGCCGCTTGCACTGTTTGCTTCCCAGGAAATTGGGGTTGTTTCAGAATACTCTCAGGTCTGCTGAGGTAATAGTATGGATTGTGAAGCGCATAGAGCTTGCTGTTGAGCGGGGATTTACGCTGTACAAATGCTATCTCTTTTTTTATTATTAACCCTTTGAACCCTGACCTCCTGGGGCTATGATGTTACCGACCTCCATATATTTCAGTTCATGACTCTACCTCCATATTTATGTCTATATATCAATGTTCATTTCCGACCTCTGTATATTTCTGTTCATGACCGACCTCCATATTTATGTCTATATATCAATGTTCATAACCGACCTCTGTCTGTTCACGACCCACCTCCATATTTATGTCTAGATCTATATATCAATGTTCACGACCGACCTCCATATTTAATATTTCTGTTCACGACCGACCTCCATATTTCTGTTCACGACTGTACCTCCATATTTCCGTGTCCACGTAGGCCCAGGATGTGACGGTCGGCGACTACTCCTTGGTGTTCTGGGAAGACCCGGCCAGCTCCGAGTCTCAGACGATGGACGGGGTGAGCAGGGAGGGAACTCTTCTGCTCCGCGTCCAGGACCCGTTCAAGGGCTACGTGTGGAAGCCCGTCTACTGTAAGCTCAGGTCAGTTTCCTCAAAAGACTTGATTGGAAAAAAAGTGGCGGTTATATGTCTATTCTTTAATTATGATAACGCGAAGGCAATTGGTCACTTTTAACGACAAGCGGTTTCGGGGGTTTCCAGAAATCTTCACCCACTCCAAAAGTGGGCGTTGCCCTACCTATAGGAGAAGTTTGGTTTCATTGGTGTGTATATTTGTTTGGTTATAGAGAAAACTTTCCCCGTCTTTTAAAAAAACTGAACAAGGGGCAAAAACTTTACCTTTGAATTTCTCAAAACACCATTTTTCGGGATAGCCCCTTTGTGCTTAAAAGCGACCAATTAACATATTGTCGCCTGAGAACTATTTAATCCCTAGTGTACTCAGCTAAAGAGTGCACTTTGTAGAAAATAGTTCCCAGGCGACAAAAGTACCAAGTTTCAGTCTTTAATGAGGAGAAGAGTGAGCACAGGATAAGTCCCATTTTTGATATGTTCGCTTTTAAGCATAGTAGAGCATAGGCCATCAACAACATTTCTCCAGTAGAGCCTGTCCTGTGCATCCTTTTCTAGCTGTTTCCACGATGTCCCCGCCGTTTCCATTTCTGCTTGTACCGCTCGCCTCCATGTCATCTTTGGTCTTCTTTTCGACAACTCTCTATAATGACATTTTTATATTCTGGTCCGGACGATGTGGTTAGAGAGAGGCTGCTCTGTTACATGTTTGTTTCAAGAGTGAGTTCTTAAAGTTTTCAAAGGGGCTCTCGTGGCCTAGAGGTTAAGGTTTTGGCCTCTTTTTCAAAGGTCCCTGGTTCGAATCCGGGTAGTAACCGAAAAATTTTCTTCTCTAAAATTATCTCCCTCACGTCCTTTCCGGCTCTCTAACCATGTTCTATCGTCTGCTTTCGTCTCCACTTTCTGCCCCCACCCCCTCACCTCCTTTGCCCCCTCCTCTGGGCTCCTGACTCTTTCTGCAGCCTTTCTACTGCCACTCCTTGGCTCCTTCTTACTGCAGTCTTTCAGCCACACCGCTGATCTTCTGGTAGGAAAGATCTACGCCTAGCCTTCTCGGACAAGGGCGAAAAATCTCGGAGGTCCCGTGTTCAAGTTGCGCACATTAAAAATCCCTTGGTGGTCTAAAATCGATAAGAGTAGGCTTCGGCCGCCACCCAGGCAAAATTCTAAATTTCCTACCAACTGAAAATGTTTAATGTATCCTGCGCGCTCATATGACCTTATGCAGTTGCGAGCGCCGTAAAACACTTACCAAAAAAAAAAAAGAATAAAAAAGAATAATATTTTCATGTGCATGGTGGACTGTTCTCTTTCAGCCTGTTCCCCTCCCAGGGGGTCGAGTGTTGTTCGGCCTCTGAAAATACCTTTTTGTGAGTAAAAGGGCCTCATCTACCCTCGGGTCACCCAGTATTTACTCACCGACATCCTCCCATTTTCTTTTTAGGGCACTTTTCTCCCCCGGAATACCTTATTTCTCTGGTGTTTTGGAAAAGTTCTTGTGGCACAACTATAATTTATGACTTTCAATGTCTTTCTGCACCATGTGGGCATCTGTAAATAGCACGCACAAAGCGAAATCTCAAAGAAGAGAAAATCTTTACGTTATGTATGGACATCACTATGTACTTTTTTTTTTAATGCGAAAAATACAAAGAATATACATGTATAAGAAAAGATTTGGAATCTGACAATCTGTTCGCTATGTGCGTGTAGTGCTATGTGCGTGTTGCGCCATGCGCCTGTTGCGTTATATGCGTGTTTGTTATGTGTGTGTTTGTTATGTGTATGCGTGTTAAGACTTTATACTGTATGATTATATGGAAAAAGTGATGGGTTATCTTTTAATCTCTTGTATGTTTTGAAAAATTTTTTTTAGGGATAGTTGGCGGGTGCTCTGGTGTGGTTTGCTCCTTCTTTCCTATCAAACATCTAGATTCTATTGTCCTTATCTCTCCTCCTTCTTTTTTGTGTTTGTTACTCCCTTGTAACACCTCTAATCTTCGGCACTTATTTGACCTTATTGTGCTGCAAGTGCCGTAAAACCTCTACTAAAAAAAAAAAAAAAAGACTTTATATTGTATGATTATACAGAAAAAGATGAGTGATGGTTATCTTTTAACCTCTTGTATGTTTAAAAAAAAAAAAATGTTCCGGTGTTTTCTTTGTGCAGGAATGGAATGCTGTGTGTGTATAACAACAAAGGCGACCCGCGGCCAACGTGGTACCTGGGTCTGGGAGGTGACCAGTGCATCGGTTGCCGAGTGACCACCGTAGCCGACCGCCAGCACTGCCTCGAACTGGTTCTCTCCGACGGCCCCAGCTGGCTGCTGTCTGCGGCCACCGAGTCGGAGATCTCCTACTGGAGGCACTCCTTCTGTCTGGCTGTGTCTACGGGCATGGAGGTGAGTACTGTACTGGTTGGGGGGAGGGGGGGAGGGGGCACGGAGTCAGATCTCCTACTGGAGGCACTCCTTCTGTCTGGCTGTGTCTACGGGCATGGAGGTGAGTACTGTACTGGTTGGGGGGGGGGGGGGGGCCCGGGGTCAAATCCCCTACTGGAGGCACCCTTTCTGTCTGGTTGTGTCTACAGGCATGGAAGTGAGTACTGTACTGGTTGGGGGGGGGGGGCACGGAGCCAAATCTCCTTCTGGAGGCCTCCCTTCTGCCCGGGTGGGGCTACCGGAATGGAGGTGAGAACTGGGGGGGGGGGGGGGGGGGATAGAAGGATATGGGACGGGGGCGGGAAGTGTGAATGTGTTTATGGGGGATGGGGAGAGGTGAGTACTTGTCAAGGGTTTGTGTGTGTGTATGTGGTGGGGGGCGGGGGAAGGGATTTGGGTGGAGATGAGTTTGATTATAGAGAAAACTCTCCTTGTCTTTTAAAGAAACTTAACAAGTGGCAAAAACACTTTACTTTCGATTTTCTCATAACAGCATTTTTCGGGATAGCCTCTCTTGTGCTTAAAAACGACCAATTTACCCCCTCTCTCTCTCCCTCCCCTCCACCCAGCCTCAGAACACGGTGTCCAAGTCTCTGGTACCCTGCTGTCTGGTGCTGGCCTGTGGCACACTACTCATGTGTCACGAGGACCTGCAGACCAAGTTCTTCCGCACGCTGGGCAGGGCCAAGGTCGAGGACATCACGGCCATCGCCATGGACGAGAAAGACCCGACCTACTGCGTGGTGGTAAGTGGCAGGAGAATATGTGTCACGACATGGTGGAATCAGGCACTCGTCAATTTTTCGGGCATGTGGAGTTTTTGGTATCATCTGAAAGCTTATTTACTTTCCTTGCTTTTCATGAAAAAAATATCCATCTAGCCTGAATTGAAGTCGAGATATTTGCGATTGAAGAGGGTGAGGTAGCCTGGTTTCAGTGGTTAAATTAATCAGAAAATGGCCGCCAAAGTTTGGTAACTTCAGTAGCTTAAGAGTTCTTGAAAACTGAAAATTACATACTTTGGTACCTTTAAACAAGGCTTTTCAGTAAAATTCACCTGGAAATGTGTTTTCATATGAACTAAAAGGTGTTTAGGTAAAAAAAAAAAAAAGATAAAATTTGCAAAACTGATGGAAAAATGCCTTTATCTTCGATTTTATTTTTTTGACGAGCGCCTGATTTCACCACGCTGCCTCACATAATGATGATTTATACAGTCGGGAGCACATAGCATGAACACGGAAAGCTTGAAAATCGGGAGGGTCTCGTGGCCTAGAGGTTAAGGTGTTCACCTCTCATTCAATTGTCCACAATTGGAATCCGGATAGCGACGGAAAGTTTTCTTTTCTAAAATTGTCTTCTTTCACCTCTTTTCCCGCTCTCTAACAATGTTCTGTCGTCTGCTTTCGACTCTAGGGTCAGATTTATAGATTTCCTATTGATACCATTTTCTTAAGTGTTGCATGCCGTTTTATTATTTCATACTTATAAATTGTAAAAGCTTCACCTATAAGTGTGATGTATCTATTTCCATAGGGCTGGAATCAGAGAAGTAACTCATTTTGTCCGCACGCTTCACATTTAACAAACAGGCCATTGCTGGTTACCACTCTGCAGCACCCAACTTTTTTTGTTTTGTTGTTGTTTGGTGGGTTTTTTGTTGTTGTTGTTTGTTGGGTTTTTGTTGTTGTTGCTTGTTGGGTTTTTTCTCACTTTGAGCTGGGGTTTTGCTGGATCGATAACAACAAAAACAATAACAACTTTGAGCCGGGGTTATTAGTCCTTGCCCAAGGGCACGCCCCAGCGACCACTCACCCTTGCGAACCCCGTGTCACTGGACTCTCTGGACGTTGCTCCATATTTTATTATCAGGCTTGTAATACTTGAGTTGCTTAACTCTTTATCTCCGAAGGGGATAAGGTAAACCCACTATGCTGGAACCCTATTTTGGTACGAAATCTAAAATTGACACATATGTCACTAAACTGGTCTTTAAATATAAACAAGTGAACCTACTTCGATACTTCTTCATCTAATGAGTTATCTCCCGAGAAAAGAGACTTGTTTTCAGAAATTGCTAAAAAGTAATTTGCCGTTAAAGTCGTCGTAAAGGAATGTGCCCGAATTACTGTCAGCTGTGAGCGGCTTGCCGGAGATAAAGAGTCAAGATGTTGCTTACCGTTAAGATAACGAAAGGAGGCCACAGCGTCAGCTCAAGCACTGATTGTGCCCCTCAAGGAGCTAGCCGTACATAAGGGGGGGCCCGGTGCTGTCGGATAAAGCCTCTTGAGGTTACGCACAACTAAATACTTGACCCAGGCATTAATCTACGTTTGGCGTGTATTCTGTACTTTTGGTTTGTGCTCTTTGTTCCTGGTGTCATATTATATTGACATGTCGATAATATAGATCTATATTATCATTATTTATTTCTTCTTCACTCACGATCTATGGTCTGAAATCAAAATAATAAGTTTTGACTATTTCTTCTTTGCTTTCTGTCTATGGTTTGAAATCAGAATATGTATGCGGGTGGTTGGCGGGTGCTCTGGTGTGGTTTGCTTCTTCTTTCCTATCAGACATCTATCGTTTGTATCTCCCCTCCTTCTTTTTTGTGTTTGTTACTCTCTTGTAACACCTCTAATCTTTGGCACTTGTATGACCTTATTGTGTTGCAAGTGCTGTAAAACTCTTACTAAAACACAAGTGTTTTGTCTCGTATTGTCAGGAGTTTATTGTAAGTGTTTTGTCTTGTATTGTCAGGAGTTTATTGTAAGTGTTTTGTCTTGTATTGTCAGGAGTTTATTGTAAGTGTTTTGCCTTGTTTTGTCAGGAGTTTGAATCCCAGGAGTCGGGAGTGACCAGCGTCCAGTGGGTGTTCTACTTTGCCTCGGCCGCGGATCTCGACAGACATCGAGCTGCTCTCAGCGAAGCGTGGAAGGAAATATTTATGGTGAGATACATGTATGGCTCTTTTTGTCCATTTTCGTCCATGCAGACGGTCAATTTAGCTTAACTTAAGATGGTCTCGAGGTTGTCTTCACCTTCCAATGTTTGAAGCGCAGATTCTGTCGCAGTGCTTGCATGTCAGTGACGCGGATCGAAGCTCTGTATTTCCGCTGTTTTCCTTTTGTGAGATACGTGATTATGTGTGTATTGGGGG